CAACCGACGGACCTGTTCCTCCTGTTGACGGACCTGTTCCTCTTGTCGGCGGGCCTGTTCATTCTGTCCGCCCCGCAGCTGCTCTTCCAACTGACGGACCTGTTCCTCCTGTCGGCGAGCCTGTTCCTCCTGTCGGCGAGCCTGCTCCTGCAGCATCACCATCAGAGCACCGAAGTCAGGTGCTGCAGATGTAGGAGCTACTGACAGGCCTGGAGCCGGTGGCTGGCCCTCCGATGTCTGCGGCGTTGCACCACCAAATCGTCTCTGGTCCATCTCCTGCTGGCGTTGACTTCGGGTATGGACACCCTCCTTTTCCTTCTTAGGTAAAATTGGCATGATTTTATCCCACTTCTGACACCAATTGTTACGAGCTTAGGGTTCGTGACAATAAAAATTGCCGATAGAATTACCAAAATTAATACTTTAATTCACTTTACACTAATGAAACTTAAAACACTAATAATTAATCACTTTATTTCGCTCCGAAGCTTCGCTTGTCTCGCCAAATTCAATACTTCCCCGATCGCACCTTGCAGCGCCTATAAATACACATTAGCACCGAAACATCCAGAACATTCGCGCACCAATCGACAAGGCGTCGAAAGTTCGAGTGTCGGCTTCTAGAAGCTTAGTTCTTCGTTTCGACACCAGATGGCGCTGTCGGTTGAAAGATTAGTGATGTCATTTTCTGGAAAGCTCCCCCCGCTCTCGTCCCTGACACTACATGGCGTCAACTTAGGCTCGCAACAATACCTATTTGTGTCAGATGGTAATCGAACCCACGGACACCCGGCGCAACGGTAGTGGCGAGGTGATCACCAACCAGTAGACTAGACGTGGCGTCTATTATTATAATATTTATAATTATGCATTATTATGTGGTACCCTTTTACAAAAGGCGGCACGTACCAAGGCGGCGCAATATAAAAGCGACCGTATCTAAGCAAATGAACTTTACATAATATAGGTTGGTACCTGTAGTGAAAATAGTTTGCAAGTATATCAGTATTCTTTTACATAAGTACACAAACATATTATTATCTACGTATTTTTAACTACTAGTATCATGTAATTCTGTGTGAAGTGTTATAGTGTTTTATTTTTCAATTATATCTTCTATGTTGGCCTTTTTGGGGCTACATGCAATTTCTAAATGAGTGGAATGGTGATTGCGGTATTTATTTTTCAGTTCATTTTGTAAAATAAAGCTTCACAGAGATATGTCGAAGAAAATACTGTCAAAATAAATTGTGCGCAGTCTCGTAAGCTTTTATAGTTATTGGGCACATTTTTCCAAAATTCAATGTGTTCATTATTTTCACGATGTTCAATGAAATGAACTTTGAGATCTGTGTCGTAGTATTCAATAAGTTCATTCATCAACTGTGTTTTAAAAAATTTAAACTGACTTAATAAAATCACATCATAATCTTCAAAATGCATAAGGTTTTCTACAAGAATAAAACAGTTCCTAATATTTCTCACATCACTGAATCTTTTTTGAATTTCTGACCAATTATATACAGGGTTACAAGAAAAATCGTGCTAGATCCGTTAAGGGCGTGGAGTACCCATCATTTCTGACTTATTTTACTATGAAACACCCTACCCTAAACTTAACGCTTTTCGGGATATTCGACTTTTAATTTTTTTATTGAAAATTGCCGATTTTTAGGCTACTACATTTATTTTTGTTTATTTTGTGTATCTATTATTATTATTATTATTGCATTTTTACATGTGTAATTAGATGCTTTAGGACGTCAATCATTAAAATAGTGCATAAGTTAATTGAATAGACCGTAGTAGACAAGTGAAAGTAAAGAAATAAAAAAAAATATTAGAAAGTTTATTTTTCTCGAAGGGATATCTAAAAAATATTACGGCAATTGTTTGGCAGATGTTTTTTTTAAATATCTACGTTTCATCAGCTATATAATGAGGTATACCAATCTAGGGTTTGTATTACATTTCGTCGAAAAAAAGTAGTTGGGACTATCCAGGTAGCAGTTCTAACGGTCCCGCGCCTATTGTCCTTCAAGTTAAGACGCACCAAGCGAGCGATACAAGTGACGATTTATGTAGGTGCGAATGAAAGAAAAAATGTGTAGAGACCGGTTAGGGGTGGGAATACAACAGGGGGTATTGTTTGGTTGTCAGTCTGCTTTTGTGCTTCGTACATAGTAGATGCGATATCGTTTTGCTCTTTTTCTCGACTTGGCTGCGATTCTAGACTATTTCTTCTGATTTGTGACTACTGTGCTTGTTAACCAGACTCTGATTTGTACCTGTGATACGGAAGTGTTGAAGATGACGTCCTACACATCTGAGGAATATGCTGATATGCTTATTTGTTACGGATACTGCGATTGTGTGTCTGCGCAAGCTCGCAACGAATACATAACTCGCTACCCCGGTCGTCGAGTGCCGGATGTGGCCGTTTTTGACAGAGTTTATCGAAGACTTCGAGAAACTGGCTCTGTTTTGAGACGAAATACAGACATGGGAAGACCACGAATTGAGGACGAAGAACAGGACAATGAGATAGTGCAACGCTTTCGAGCGGATCCGACTACTTCCACTAATATTGTTGCCCGTAATCTGGGACTTTCGCAATGGAGAGTGTGGTTTACGGTGCATACTGCTGGCCTACACCCGTACCATTAGACGCCGGTACACGTTATTGAAGAAGGAGACCCCGCGAGAAGATTGGACTTTTGCAGGTTTATGGTAAATGCTGACGTAGAAGACCCAGATTTTCTAAGAAATATCTTGTGGACGGATGAGTCCAAATTTGATAAAGATGGCATAACTAACTATCACAACGCCCATTACTGGGCCCCAAAAGTACTAAGGAATCCCAATAAGAAAAGAGTGAAGGGGTTCCAACGAAGATTCAGCGCGAATGTGTGGATGGGCATTATCTCCAATCATTTGATTGGACCTTACTTTCTCCCGGATAATCTAAATGCGGAAAGCTACGAAAATTTCCTGAGAGCAGACTTGAGTGATTTGCTGGATGATCTGCCACTCAATCTGATCAGAGACATGTGGTTCCAACACGATGGCTGCCCTGCCCATTTCAGGAGAAGTGTCAGGGACTGGCTTGACACAAATTATCCAAACAAATGGATAGGACGAGGTGGGCCGTTGCCATGGCCAGCAAGAAGTCCAGACCTAACCCCCATGGATTTTCATGTGTGGGGGTCATAAAAGTCTTGTATACAGCAACCGAATCCAGTTTCGTCTGCGGAAGACTTAAGAGAAAGGATTGTGGATGCAGCAAATAAAATTAGGACCACGTTGACCACTGGAGTAGTGAAGACTGGTTTCCGTAGAAGGATGCGACAATGTATCAGAAATAGAGGCGGCCATGTTGAACATGAACTGTAGAATAAGAAAAAGTTTTGTGAAAACCTTTAATAAATGACATTTCATGCTTAACTATTGTTTTATTTTACTTTTTTCGGCTAAGTATAAATTTTCTTCTTCACTGTCGCCTATGAAACTAAAGTATTTTCAATGCATTTGAATAAAACCTTAGATTATTATACCTCGTTAGATAGCTGATGAAACGTAGATATTTAAAAAAACATCTGCCGAACAATTGCCATAATATTCCCTTCGAGAAAAATAAACTTTCTAATATATTTTTTTATTTCTTTACTTTCACTTGTCTACTACGGTCTATTCAATTAACTTATGCACTATTTTAATGATTGACGTCCTAAATCATCTAATTACACATGTAAAAATGCAATAATAATAATAATAAGATACACAAAATAAACAAAAATAAATGTAGTAGCCTAAAAATCAGCAATTTTCAATAAAAAATTAAAAGTCGAATATCTCGAAAAGGGTTAAGTTTAGGGTAGGGTGTTTCACAGTGAAATAAGTCAGAAATGATGGGTACTTGACGCCCTTAACGGATCTAGCACGATTTTTCTTGTAACCCTGTATATAAAGTACGTGTCACGTTGTTTGTCCGTGATGGACTCCTAAACTACTTAACTGATTTTGATCAAATTTGCAAAACGTGTGCAGTTTGATTAAACTTGAGAGATAGGATAGCTTACATTTCAATTCATATCCGCAATATTATTTTATTCCAAATTATATTTGTATATAATTTGATAGTCACAATACATACGCTTTCAATCACTTGTTATTTTCAATTATTATTTTCAGTCAAATGCCATCGAAAAAAATCTAATCTCAATAACGCGAGGAGCAGAGAGGTACGACGCAAACGTGTTGAAAGTGCTCATCAGTCGGCAGAACAATTCGAAACAAGAAATACAGATCAAAGAATCAGGACACTAGAGAGTCGTGCACAAGAACATCAAGAACAGCGTGTTGAACGTCTGCAACAGACTATGAGAACAAGAGCAGCACGAGAGCAAAACATAGCTACAGCACGAATATGCACCAGATATTCTATATTTTTAGGTGCTAAAAGAGATAAAAAAGTTAGCTCAATGAACTACTACGCACACCGATTGATGATAAGAATATATCAAGACAACTATATCCTTCGATATCGTCAGCTATTCCATCAATACATTGTTGATATTGTGACGGCCCAATATTAATATTAATAATTAAATTCAATATAAAGGGGCGTCAAAAATAGTCATAAAAGATATAATATATTAAACAATAAAATCCTATACCTTTAAACGAGCAATTCTTGTATATATATATAAACAATAAAATAAGAAATTAAAATAAATCCACACGGTAAGATATTAAATAGTTAATTGTCAAATTTACCGGTATTTGGATCACACTGTTTGATGTTAAGGTGATATTCATCCTGTCCTTGCCAAAATATTAATGGATATTGTAGTGCGTCATATGAACGGTGTAGATCCGAAATTGTACTGACAGTGTTGTCTCGCCGTGTAATTTTATAGCTCTTTTGTCAACTGGATCACCAACCATAATAATAGCGACCTCATCAACAGTTGGAGCGTTCAATCTGCCAGCATGTTCACCTAATGGCTATATACTTTTTCGGCTTTTATGAAGACTTGATAGTTGTCATTTTGCAGTCGTGGCGAAACTCTTTTAATCAATCGAATTAGTTCATTATGATCTTCTAAATTTTTTTCCAGCATAATCACAGTTGCTCTTTCTTCTGCTTGTTCAATGAAATTATACTGGCACCGAGTTGTCACGCGCTCTTCACAATTGCCCATAAAATAAATTTGAAGAAATTTTGGATCATTATCAAGCATTGGCATCAATGACCCGATTTGATGGTACACCTGGCCTTGTATTTTAAATGTCGTTTCAAAATTACGTCCATCATATGCGAGATCGCAAATTTTAGTTGCCCCAAATGACGTCATTAGGAACCAAGAATTAAATTTGCGTATCTTACGCAAAAATAATTTTGAATCATCTGAATCGCTAGCAAGAAGGGATAATAAAGGTTCCGGCGGAGTGGGTAGAGGCAACAGCACAACTTTTACTGATGCGCAGCACATGCGGGGTGTTTCGATCTGAAATTTCAATGCCTGATAATATTGGCATACTTTATCCATTGTACCGATAGCAATTTTTGAATGCGCAGAGTAGTTAATATCTGGTGCATATTCGAAAGCAAGACGAACAAATGATGCTCGTGATAATGAGCGGCTGGCCCGCTGCCTCTGTCGTTCTTCTAGTCGTGCTGTAGCTATGTTTTGCTCTCGTGCTGCTCTTGTTCTCATAGTCTGTTGCAGACGTTCAACACGCTGTTCTTGATGTTCTTGTGCACGACTCTCTGGTGTCCTGATTCTTTGATCTGTATTTCTTGTTTCGAATTGTTCTGCCGACTGATGAGCACTTTCAACACGTTTGACAATTAACTATTTAATATCTTACTGTGTGGATTTATTTTAATTTCTTATTTTATTTTATTTTTTATTGTTTTTAGGTGCTAAAAGAGATAAAAAAGTTAGCTCAATGAACTACTACGCACACCGATTGATGATAAGAACATATCAAGACAACTATATTCTTCGATATCGTCAGCTATTCCATCAATACATTGTTGATATTGTGACGGCCCAATATTAATATTAATAATTAAATTCAATATAAAGGGGCGTCAAAAATAGTCATAAAAAATATAATATATTAAACAATAAAATCCTATACCTTTAAACGAGCAATTCTTGTATATATATATATATATATATATATATATATATATATATATATATATATATATATATAATCGGAATCTCGGAAACGGCTCCAACGATTTTCATAAAATTTAGTGTCCAGGGAGTTTCGGGGGCAATAAATCGATATAGCTAGGATTTATTTTTAGAAAATGTCTTTTTTGTCCGTGTTTTTAGGCAATGAAAAACTGCTACAATATCGTTAGAATATGAAGGTAAAGGAGACGGGCGAAAGTTCATAGAAAGCTGGGCCTGATGTTACAGCAACGATTACTGTATTATTTTATTTATATATCAATACCATTTAAAAAAAAAACTAAAATGTTTACGAGTGCTTCATGGTAGAAAAAAAATAAAGGTTGTTATTTTGCTTATGCTATGCATACAATGTTATTCTCATACCAAGCTCTCACATTACACTTTAAGAAAATAATTATTAGACTTTATTGTAAACTAGACTTCACCGTAATTTTATGTATTGTAGGACATTCACAAATAGAAGATTCAGACGCCGCCGTCCAACTAAATTCTAGAAGTTTGAAATAATTATAAAAAAAACAGAAGGAGGATGAATTAAAAACACTTTCTCTTTTAAGGATTTATTAATCGTCCACTTCATCATAAACAAATAAAATATCGTCTAAAAACGGTGCAGGCGGTATTAAATTCTCTTGACGCCTTGCCCAGCTTAGGTACCATATCATGGACATTACATGACAACATTACAGGCTGTAACTTTACTTACTTTTACATGACAACAGCAACCTACAGTTCTTTTTCCTACCAAAGAATTGAAATAATACTGTTTGATAATCTCTCTACTATTAAGAGGACTGTCAACTAAAATATATGTAAAATATGTTTTTGAGCTTAAGTATATGTCTCGATTTTATTCAACTTCTCAATACCCAGTTAGAATGGTTGGATAGTACCATTCTAGGTGGCTATTAAGAGGTCGTATAAAGACAATTCTTTTAGTAGGTTGCTGTCCGTTTCTAGACATACTTCTATTTCATATCTCCCATCTTGTATGTGTTCACCATAATGGGACCTAGCCCACTTAATTTGATAAATACCTAAAGATATTTGTATTAAATTACTGTGTGTGAGCTGGGGAAAATCATTTATCATTTTGCACATGTATTCTTGTAAAATCAGAAAAGAAATCGTCAGAATCCTTTACACGTAGCCAGAGTCGTTTTTTTTTTCCTTTCTTGGCCTGCACGGTTTGTGCGTCAGCCATGCAAGAAGGTTAGGAAGTAAGATTTATTTTATTGAATTGGAAGTTGGAACGGAATTTGAAAAAGGATCAGGTAAATTTAGTATATAAGTACATAAATGATTATAATTTTATATTGTTATGAAAAATGAAACTGGCTAAAATTCTATATACATCAATATTTACATAAGATAAAAGGACAGAAATTGAAGTAGGAAAAGGAATTTTAATGGACAAAAGCGAGGAAATAAAAGCGGAACGGTCAAGTCGAGGACAAGCAAAAAAATATATGGTTAAAATCCCCAACGTCATTGCCACACTCACATATATCGCTAGGCAAAAGTTTAAGTCGTGCGAAATGCAAGGGAGTGCATGCATGGCCCAGCCTCATACGAATAAGGGTCGAGGTGATAGCTTTACCAAACGTCAGATTTGAAAACCACGGTTTATGAGGTATATCCACCTGGATCGTGCTATAATATCGACCTATAGTCTGACTTGAAGAACGCCAAATATGTGTCCAAGAATTCAATAACTGGGATTTAGGAAGGAGAGCCAAATCACAACAAAAGTTTTTGTACGGAACTAGATCTCCGTCATTGACTGCAGCTTTGGCAAGGCTATCGGCCTTGGTATTGCCAAAGATACCTGAATGCCCCGGAATCCAAGCAAAGGAAACTGTGTAATTTTTGATGTAACATTGATACAATAAATCACGACATGCAATAATAACTGGATGATTGTTTCTGTTATTGCTAAAAGGAAATCTTTCCAAGGCTTGTAGGGCACTTTTAGCATCGGTAAAAATTATTGAGTTTTTTAACTTCATGATTAAAATGTACTCCAGAGACTTCAACAGACCAAAACATTCTCCAGTAAATACTGAAGTCTCTGGAGGCAATTTTATTTTCTGTACAATGCCAAACTGTTGATGGAAAACACCAACTCCCACACACTTCTCGGAACCGGGTTTGGAAGAATCACTAAAAATTAAATGGCAATGTTTCCATCGGCTGTCACTGTCAACTATATTAATAAATTTGACGTTGGCAGAAGTATCTTGTTTACATACACCGAAATCAAACAAAATAGATGGTTTTAAAATTAAGGCATCATAGTTAACACAAAATATAGGAAGGAATTGTGATCTATGTGTTGGAGCTTGAAGAGCTAAGAATTTTTGGAGACTAACAATAAGGCATGGCGACGATTTATGAGCCCAGTACGGATAATCCATACATTCCAACAGAGACCGTAACTTAGAGTAAAGAGGATGATTATAGACTTGGAATGCTCTAAACAGGAACCTGTCACAAAGAAATTGTCGTCTGAGATGCAGGGGCGCTTCAGAACATTCAACCTGCAAAGCGTTAATAGGGCTCGAACGCATAGCCCCAGCAATTATTCTCAGAGCCTTAGACTGGATAATGTCTAATTTATGGAGAGCTACTGCATTACAGGGTTCAAGAATAAATGTTCCATAGTCTAAAATACTCCTTATAAGGGCATTATATAGAAGCTTTAGAGAGAAAGGGTGGGCTCCCCACCAAACTCCAGAGAGGCAGCGCAGTATATTTAGAATCTTCTCACATTTGGCACTTATATAGTAGCAATGAGGGATGCCTGTAAGTCTCGAGTCTAAAATTACTCCAAGAAATGTTGCTTCGCTTTTAACAGGAACTCTAATGTTATTATAAAGTACAGACACTGGAGGAGGAACCCTCATACGAGAAAATAAGACTATACTACTTTTAGAAACTGAAAGGCTGAGACAGTTATTGTCTAGCCAAACTTTTAGTAACTTAAGGGAATATGTCATAGTATCAGTCATGTTGTGAACAGAATCACCAGAGACATAGAGGAGTAAATCATCTGCATATTGGAGAGTGCTAACTTTACCCTTAAGGGAGGCTTCCAGATTATGAGAATATATATTGTAAATTAAGGGACTTAAAACTGAGCCCTGGGGTATACCTTTCCAGGCAATACGGGATTGGTAAGAGTCTTCTGATATTACTTTAAGCATTCTACCAGAGAGAAGGTTGATTGTAAATCTTATAAAAATTTGTGGGATATCCAAATTAATCATTTTTTGTTTCAGAATTGAAAGGTTGACATTATCATAGGCTGCAGATACATCTAAAAATGCTGCTAACACAGAGTTATTGTGCGAAAATGCCAATCTTAAGTCTGTCATAAAAATGCTGAGACTATCCATTGTACTCCTACCTTTCCTAAATCCAAACTGGTTTGGAGATAGTAACCCCTTACTCTCAATAAACCATTCTAACCTATTTTTAACTAAATGTTCAGAAATTTTGGAAATAACTGAAGCTAATGCAATTGGTCTGTAAGATGATGGATCATTAATCGGTTTGTCTGGCTTATGTATTGGGATAATTTCATGAATTTTCCATGATGGAGGAATATTACCTGTTGTTAAAATTGAATTAATTAAACTAAGAAAATAAGAAAGGCAGGAGTCGTTCAGGTTTAGAAGAAAAGAATATGGGATTCCATCACAACCTGGGGCTGAGTCCCTAAGTTTTGAAAGAACCCCTTTGAGTTCTGAAAGGCTAAAGAAAATGAATGAATCGCTACTATCATGCTGGGAGAGGAGAGAAGACTGTAGGTCAGAAAAAATATTATCTATAGATGGGACAAATGGTGGGGCTAATTTGTCAAGAAACAAATCAACTGTACTGCTATCCATAAAAGGAAACCCTGGAGGCTTAAAAGCGGATCTGAATCTACGAATATTTTGCCAAACTTCAGATGGAGAAATGTGTGGTCTTTTTTGTTTTAATAATTTACGTGTTTTAGTTATAAGGTTACAAAGAATATTAAAATTTTGTGTTGTAGAATTTTTCCTGTAATTTTTTTCAGCTATCTTTCTCTCAGCTATCGCAGCAGAACACTCACTGTCCCACCATGGAGGTGATGGAATATACCCATTGCCACTATTATTTTTAATAGGAAAAACTTCCTCAGCAGCCTGTAGTAGGGCCTGTGTAAAAGCTTCAGCACAAAGATGATTATTGTTGTCATTTAGTGGAGGTATAGTTGATAAATTTTGTTGAACTTTATCTCTATATAATGACCAGTTGGCATCGTTAAGTTTATATTTTAGCCGGGGAGGAGCCTTATACATCTTTTCGCCAATTTTTTGAGGAAATGATATAATTAACGGAAAGTGATCGCTTCCATATGACGACGATAGAGGCCACCAGTTTAATGTAGGAGCTAGGGAGGGACTACACAGGGTAAGGTCTGGTGCACTAATACCCTCATGGGGCCGAGTCCTTCTAGTAGAACAACCATAGTTTAGAAGGCATAAATTATTATCATCTAAGATGTCTAACATTCTAGCCCCATAATGGTCAGACTTAGAACTTCCCCACATAGAATGTTGTGCATTGAAGTCTCCCATGACCAATATAGGGCGTGGGAGGGAAGATAGAATGCTACGAATATCGTCAAAGACTTCAGTGGAAGGGTGAGGTATATACATATTTACAAAACAAATATTATTTACACTAACAGCAATAATTGAAAATTTATTACTGTGATTAGGTATGGGTATGTGGACAAAGGGCACACCGCCCTTCAGAATTAGTGCAACTCCTCCATACCCATCTGTTCTGTCTTCTCTAAGATAGATATGTCCTGGAATTCTAAAGTTGAATCCAGGACGAAGCCAAGTCTCTTGAAGAGAGACTGCAAATGGTTTGTAACTATTCAATAAGAAAATTAGGTCACTTTTTTTGCTATTAATACTCCGGCAATACCATTGAATCACCAGAGACTGGTTTCGTGGATGGTCCTGACTGTCCATGAGTTAAAAAACTTTTTGAAGAAGCAGCATGGTTGGACGGTATTTTAATTAGGTTATGTTGTGAAAGGTACTGAATTATAGAAATGATGAGATCCTTTGTTATTATTTCTGATAGATCTTTGTAATTTTTGAGACAACCTGTAGAAGAGGAAGGAATGTTGCTGTAATCTTGGATAAGCTCTGCATGCGCTTTTTGATCATATCCCTTACTAGTATTTCTGGGACGAGCTTTGGGTTTCGAGAATACTGTTTTCCTATATGACTGTGTGTGACTCTTAGAAGGGCTTGTTGAATTATAGGGCTGGAATAAGTAATAGTTCGACCAGAAAGGGCCAATGAAGCAGAAGCAATAACGTCAGCATAAGATTTCGAAACTGGTGGGTGGATTTTACTGGCTTCTGAATAAGATATAGAGTTTCTAGCCATTGTTTCTTTTATAGCTTTTTGCCTAGCGTACTCCGGACACTTTTTTGTCTGTGGCGAAATGGGAACCAGAACATAAGATACACACAGCATCATCTCTTTCAGTCTCGCAGCTTATACCTGAATGTTTGTCTCCACATTTGTAACACCTTGGAGAGCCTCTGCATTGCATTTTGGTGTGACCAAAACGACAGCAATTAAAGCATTGCAGCGTGGGGTAAATATAAAGCTCTACAGATAGGGAGTTGAAACATATAAAGACCCTGGGAGGTAGCACCTTCCCATCAAAGGTTAAAACTACAGTCTCAGTTGGAATGAACTTGGGCGTTTCGCCGTCATATACCTTTCTGTTTAATCTCCGAACTTTCAAAATACTTCCACAGTTCTGCGGAAGGTCTATATTTTCCATTATATCTTTCTCATCCCAATCACATGGAACACCTCTCACTATTCCCATGCGGGTGATAGTGAAGGCTGGAATAAATGCTTTGTATTTATTAACATCAAGAGATTTGTGATTTAGAAATGTGTTAGCATCCTGAAATGTTTCAAATTGTAAATACAATCTGTTTCTTCCAATTTTTTTGATGCTTACCTCTATAATGCTTTTTATTAAATTTTTTATAAGGAATAATCCAAATTGTACTGGGTGAATAGATCCAGTTTGATTTGGTTGTAAGATTTTTTGGACATGGACAACATAAGGCGCAGGATCTGACGCCTGGTAAAGCAACCTAGCAGCGCGGGGGTTACTTGTAATATTGTTAGAGTGAGTGTCATCATTATGGTGAATTTCAGTGTTTTTATCATCAGAATCAAGCAATTTAGTAATAACATTATCCTTTAAATCGTTAGGGGGAAAGTTGGCAGTCCGATAGACCCGTTTGTCTGTGATTCCTTCTCTTCTTTTGGTTTCTAGCTGAAATTCTCTTTCTTTTCACCGATTTCGTGTTTTCCGAACAGTCTGTATCTATAATTGAACCTTCCGTTTCCATTCCCGACGCATCGATTGTGACAACATAAGACACTTGGAGGGATGTCCCTCCAGGGTCTTCGGGCTCCAACATGGACGCCAAGAGAAAAATACGATGATGTCAACCAGATGAAGAAATCAAGCTAAAACTATAAATAATCAACAATAACTACTAATATATATACTTTACAACTTAACTGATCCTGTAATATCAATTTAATTTAATTTTCAAAAGTTTAGCCAAAAAAGGACGCCCGCCTACTTCAGAACTTCCCGCGCTTCCGCCAGAGTCGTTAAAGATGGGAATATTATTACAGCACAGATAAACAACAGAAAATATTCACTACCACCGCAAGCTCAGAGCCAAACAAAAGTTCCCTATTTAAAAAAGTACTCTGTGAACAAAAGTAACAAATTATTTCAGTGACGTTTTTAGTTTTTAAACTAACGTTGACATTTCCGCTTTGTGGCATGTATAAAACTTTGATAATCGATTGTGTAATCGATTTATTAATTTATTCAGTCAATTTATTTTTACGACTATTTTGAAACGTTAAGGTGTCACGAGGGAACCATTGTTTAAATAAGAAGTTTTTTTTTAACTTACCTAAAGAAGAAAAGACTGAATCACTTTTTATTGTCTTTTTTCTATTTTTGTATTAAAATCGATTAACTAACCTATTTCATCTGGCAGCATTGTTTAAAAATAAAAATAACGGAAGTCAGTATTATTCTTATTAAATATTTAATTTATTTTGCCATGATAAAACTGCTTAATATTTCATTATTAACTACTAAAAAACTTTAAAAAAATATTGATAAATATTTCACTTGTGTAACGTTGGGCCCGAATTCGCCCGTCTCCTTTTGACAGTTTATTAATGATTATAAATAGCTTAATTGGTATATTGGGCGGTCACAAAATCGTAATACCATGGTTCGAGCCCCGACCGACCGACCGACTTTTTTTAATTTTTTTTCAAGTTCCTTTCCTTTTTGAGAAAATCTATTTTTTCGTGCCCTTTTTTTTAGTATTTTTTAAAAACACGAAAATTTAAATTAAACTAATTGCACTCATGATTTTTTATTCAAATAACCAGTTGAATTTTTTCTATTATGTCGCTACGATCAAAAAATATTATTCGTATTTCATCAGTATGTAATTTGTATCTAAATATAATTTCCAAAACACACGAATTAAAAAAAACGAGCGAAAAATACCGAGCAAAGCTCGGTCAACCGGGTACTTACATTAATAACCATAAAGTTAATATAAATACATTTCAGACATTAGACCAATAATATGATATCAAACGAACTTCTTGAAGTGAAGTTCGATCATTATTATATGAGTCGCTTCATTCGAAGATACAAAGGTCCCACCCACCCATACCCGGCGTAAAAAACTTAAACAAATATCTCTATCTGAAACCAAGCTTGTCCAGGCCAGTAAGGAAATACTAATATACCGGTGGCTTTGTCACTAATAATTTTTCGTAAGCATCTTAGTATTAATGCGAACGGTGGAAATGCGTAGAAGAACGACGCGTTCCAGTTAACTGTAAAAGCGTCAATTGTCATTGCGTCGGGGTCAGGTTTCCATGAGATATATTGAAGGCATTTTGCATTGGTACGAGAAGCAAAAAGATCAATTTCAGGATCTACCAGACTTTGAACAATTGTTGCGAACGCACGTTCAGATAATTCCCACTCCGTATCTATGTTTACTTTTCGTGATTCTTCATCAGCTTCGCGGTTGTCGTGTGTGTTAATGTAGGATGCAAATAAGAAGATATTTCGCTTCTCGCACCACTGCCAAATAGTTTTGGTCAAATTATTTAAATGTGGAAACCGTATTCCGCCCATACGATTTATGTAGCACATGGCAGTTGTGTTGTCTACGCGGAGTAAAATAGAGCAATTAGAGTGAGCAATAGCAAAGCATTTCAAGCCAAGAAAAACGGCTAGTAGTTCTAGGTAATTAATGTGAAAGGATAACACGTCCTTCCATCCACCGTTTACTCTTTTATCATCACAAACAGCCCCCCAGCCTGTATTGGACGCGTCAGTATATATTTCTAAAGCAAAGTTTTTGTTTGGCCTCAGTGAATTGCTAGTGGAAAATATATTTTCTTTCCACCATTGCAGGTCGGGTAAAATAATGACTGAAGGCTTGATTTTTTTTTTCAAAATCTTTGTATTTTAGTAAGGCTAAATATTTTTGACGTTCGAGAATTTTGGTGTACAACCAACCATATCTAACGGCTGGACAGGCAGCAGTAAGTATTCCTATTAGTTGTGACAATTCCCTGATAGATCATTTGGGGAGTAAGGCAAATTTTTTGACATACTGCGTGATAACTTGTCGTTTGTCATTTGGCAAACTTAATGACATATCAACTGAATTATATATAAACCCAAGAAATCGACATATCTGTTTTGGTTCAAGGAAACTTTTCTCGTAATTGATGACAAATCCTAAGCATTTGAGCAATGACAACGTTTTACTTACGTTAGTGGAGCACTCTTCGTAAGTGTCACCTATGCATAGTATATCATCCAGATATATTACCGACCTGTATCCTCGTTGTCGTAGATAGTTAATAGGTTCTTTCATTAACTTATTGAAAACCCAAGGGACAACGGACAGTCCCTATGGCAGAGCGTTAAATTCAAAGCATTTTTTATTAAATTGAAAACGTAAGTACTTACGATGTTTTTTTGCAATTGGAACCAAAAGGTAAGCCTCTTTTATATCAATATTTGCCATGAAGCCGGATTTTGGTAAAAGTCTAGCCGCAGTCCTATGGTCTTCTATTTTGAAATGGGTGGTTGAAATAAACCTATTTAGAGTTCTAAGATTTAAGATAAATCTTTTTGCTCCGTTAGATTTCGGAGCTAGAAATACATTGAAAACATAGTCGTCCATCGATCTGCGACAGGGTGAAATAGCACCAAGATCCAATAAAGATTCGATAGAATTTAACATATGCGGGTCATTACTGAGTACAGAATTACGTGGAACTGAAGTTCGTCTTACTTTGCTACAAAACGGTATAGAATACCCTTCTGAGATCCACTTAAGTATTTGAGAATTTTTAGTTATGTTAAACCAGCAGTTATAAAAGTGCTGAATTCTTCCTGCGTGTACCTTTACTGTTTTTGAGCTGTTGCACGGTGCTTGCTCTGCGCCGACGGC